TGACCAACCTATATCAGCACTAGGTGGGTATGACTCTATCCATGTCCAGAGAGCTGAGAAAGGGGAGTGTTTCAATTTGATGTTGCCTGGTGGTTTATTTTGAGACCCAGAGAGAGCAGATCCAAGAGGTTTGAAGCTAGAGGTCTGAGGATCTCCCTCCTGACCGTTCTGGATTCCTTGTCTAAATTGGGGAACCTCTCCCTGCCTGAAGCCAGTCAGGCCAACCTCAGGGCTAGTCAATTCTGCTCCAGGCTCTACTTAAGAAAGGAGGAGGAGGACTTTAGTATTTCCTGCCTCCTGGGATCACTAGACCACTGACAGAAGCAAAAAAATGAGAATGGGGTTGGGGTGGGCGGGGAGGGGCATTTGTTGTACAGGAATGCTTAGAACATAGCAAGACTCTAAAGCAAGACTTGGAGCTTAAAGGACAAAGCTCGGTTAGGTAAAGTCTGTAAACTTCTCAATCTGGGAGCTGCTTAGGGCTCACTAACACCCATGATGCCCAACTGTGGCCAGAGTGTCCTTATTCTGATCCAGGAACACCATAGGACCCAAATCACACCACTTAGCAAGTCCTCCAAGGCCCTCATCTCCCTAAGGATCCCACCCAAGCAAATGGCTCCCGGAACACCTCTTCCTATACTTTTCTGGTTAGAAACAAGCCTGTTGCAAGATGAGCTATGTTTTGCTCTGTGACCCATAAGCCAAAGAAGGATTTTAAAGTTACAAATAACTGTGACCCTGTCGTGATCAAACAGCTGCAGTATAGCTACTGGAAGCAGTAGAAGCAGCTGCCTCAAACTGCCCACCAATCAAATTTTAATTTTTGACTATATATATATATATATATATATATATATATATCCCCTAATTATGTCAGTAATTTGGTCTCGGAATCAGAGGGGCGGGGATAAGGACACAAATACAATGCGCAAATGACAGGTTCTTTATTGTTTTTGTAAATATAGGATACGATTCATTTGATTGTCTCAAAATCATCTGTTATATAGAACTATGTAAATGTGAGGCTAATCACATTTGAATAAGCAAAATTAAACCACCAGAGGGGACTAAGGGGATGTGAGAAAGCTCCTGGGTGTGTGGAAAGTGTGGAAAGCCTGAACCAAACCTCCCCCAAGTTCTTGAGCACCTGGGCACAGGTTGGTATCTCAAAGCTCTCCACCCTGTCTGTGGTCACAATAGGATACGCTGACCCTTCCTCCTTCAGTTCGTTCTCAGACTTCAGAGGCATCACATGGAAAAACTTGACTTTCTAACTCTTTATGTAAAACAAGCACTCCCCATCCTTCCTTTAGAAGCCTCTCTCTCTCTCTTTTTTTTTTTTAAGTTAGAGAACCACCCAAGGCCAGTGTGCCCCACCCACCCCTCACCTGAGGGGCTGGCTTAGGAAGAAGGGACTGACTAGTATCTCCCAACTAACTCAGCTGATGGGTATGAAAGAGTAGTAGCTAACTTTCACGAGGAGTATCGCAACAGGTCCGTGTGGATTCAGGTGTGCCCGCGGTGGGAAGGGTGGGGGAGGGGAGGTTCCGGAGAGGAACCAGGAAAGCTCCTGGAGGGATGGAGGTAACATTTTTCCAAGGACTGTGGGACACTTAACTTTTCCTTGCAAGGCTGCGGATTGCCCCGAGAGGCAAGTGTTCCTTCCCAACATTTCTCATTTGAATACATGAAAATGTGAGTTGATCTTGGCAAGGTGAAGCTCTCTCACGGCCAGAGTGACGGTTTTGTCGCCCGCGGGCGAGGCCAGGTGGGGAGCAGCTCCGGCTTAGACATCCGGCTGCGGACAAGCCTGGATCACGGACTCTGGGGACTTTCTGAAACCTGGCGGCAACTCAAGGAGCAAGAGGACCGACGAATTCAAAGCCTGTTTTTATTTTCAGCAAAATAAGCGAAGGCCCTGAGTATGCGTACGTGTAGCACAAAGGCACACCTGGACAGGTTTGCAGCCCAGAGCAGTAAAGGATCTGGTTATAGCACTGGCCAGACAAGGCCTGTCAAGTGGCCCCAGGACTCCCACCGACTGGAGACTGGACGTCTAGCTCGCCGTGAACTGATTCCTTAATGAGGATTTAATGGCAGAAGAAAGACGCGTGGGGGCAGAAAAAAAAAAAGGGAAAGAGAAGCAGTGATAGAACAGGACCCCCGAATGCTTGCCCTGAGCTTACCCTTGTTTGGGTAGTAGTGAAGACCGCTGGCCAGGACTGCCTGGCCACGGGAGACCAGGGCTGGCTGCTGAAGGCTCCGCGCGACCTCCCCAGCCATGCGCAACTCAAACCCTCAGGGCAAAGCACAAACAAGTACCAAGGGATGCTTCCAGTGTAGCCTGCTGGGTCGAAGTCGACTTTGAACCCAGTTAAAGACCCTGGCCTTTAGAATTAGACTTCGAGCCTAATTCCCCGCCCCCCCTACACACACACACACACACACACACACACACACACACACGGACAGGAGAAGGACTTAAGCTTCTTATCTGGTGCGGGGGTGGGGCCCGCGGAGAAACTCGGACCACCCGGCACTGGCACCAAGCTTGGCCGAGGCCACCGCGGTCTTGACGTGGCGATAGTCCTGAGATGAGAGGTAGGACCAGAGGAAAACGGGGCAGACTAGAGAGACCCAGAGGAGGAGTCCTCAAGAGACTTCAGCGGTAGCACCACAGAGGAGGTCCCCGCTTAAGGTCCTACACTCCGCCCACCTCTCGGTTCAGCCACACTGGAGCATCAAGGGCACCAGCTGGTCCCAAGACAGGGTCCTAGGGTCTTTTCTCCTCCTTTCATCCCGTATCCTCTGTGTCCTTCTGTCCCAGGAATAGCTGTGGGAAAGGCCAGGTCAATCTGGGAAGGGTAGGCTAAAGCAGACAAGTTGGTCAGGGGACCTTGTCATTGAGCAGGCCCCAAGGGTTTAAACATACTGAAGCAACAAGGAAGGCCACTTTCCTGGCTGCCCGGGCTTCCTCGATTTACCGCTTTGGGCTACCTGGGGCACCTTAGTCTGTGGCCTATGGTCCTCGCTCTGCCAAGTTCCTGCTTGGGGCATCGCAGAAGAGTCAGTCCTCCCGCTCATTTCTTGTGAGGTCGCTCCATTGCCCAGAGCTAAAGGCAGGTTTAATTGCCCAGTTTTGCTATGGCATAAGGGCCCGCGTGTGGAAGATCTTAGGAATAAGCAAGGTTTGGGAGGCTTGGACTCGGAATCCAAATGCCAGCAACTGAAGAGAAGACAAGTCAGCTTCCCTCCACTCTCTCTCCCGCCCTCCCCATAAGTGTGTGTGTGGGAGGGGGGGGGTATCAAAGACTTGCAAAGAAGTGACCCTACTGTTTCACTTTTAAACCTGAGGGAAACTTCAGCTTGATACACTAAAACTTCACCAACTGAATTTGTTAGACGTCCGGAAAGGCCAAGACTAAATGCAGAGAAGTCATCCAACTATGGCTTTTCCTTCTTCGTGGCTTCAGACGGTAAACTGAATTCTGGCCGCCTACCGCCTTCTCCAGTTCAATCCAGTCTAGCCCAGCGATGTTGAGAGACTATACATACAGGAGGCAGCTGTTTGCAGGAATTGGGCCACCAACCCTAGAACACCAGGATCCAGGCTTTAAACCCGCCAGAATCCATTCCATACCACCAGTCTTGGATTCTGAAGATGCTTGTGAGAAATTTCACTGTGGTTTTACGCTATGAATGGCCCCTTTCTCCTGTTAGGTAGACTTGAAAAGGGGGGCCTAGTAGATTTGGGAAACAGACTGAAAGAACCTGTGATATTTTAATCAACCCCCTTCCACATGACAGGCCACCCCCCAAGTCATCAGCTTTTGATGCACTATATAAAGCTATTGCTAAGTTGTTACTTCCCACAGGAAATGTCCAAGTCATGCTAGGTGTTGTAGAAGAGCCAAGAAGGGCATCAGAGAATCAGCCACGAAGGAACAAGGAAGCTTCTTGGCCCTGAAAGTCCCCAGGACCAGACTGAGGAAGCTAAGCATCCGTGTGTTTTACAAATGAAACGGATCCTGCTGTTGGTGGGAACTTTGCACAAAAGAATTAGCTTCTGGCACACACCCACAGGTACATTTACACAATTGATGGGAGTGACTTCTAGTCACAAGAGCAGGCTACAGGAGGAGAGGGTTGTCTGCTGTGCTGAGTTCTAGGTAGATGTGATTGCATTCATTCCTTTGCTTACAACATCATGTCTACACACACACACACACACACACACACACACACACTTTTGTTCAGAAAAGGAATTGTAATCCAATGCTTTTATCTTTCTTATTTCCTTAACTACACATCTTCACCTTCTCTGCTCCCCTGCTGATTTAAAAGATTTGTTTGGTTCAAGGATTTAACGTGATTCTCTTGCTAGATTTCAAGGAAGAAAGATTTAAAAGAACAAAGCACGGGGTGATGGGGGGGGATATCTATTTGGAAGACAAGTAAAAACGCATTCCTTCAAATGAGATTAATGGCCTTAAAAAAAACTTGGCAAAACAAGAATATTTTAGTATCTTGGTCACTTTAGCGTTTACTTTATAGCTCTTCTAAAGGAAATGTCGTAAATCTACAGCCTGGCGCAACACACGCAGGGCCACCGGTCACATTCACTTAGAAATGCACTCAGTAGTTAGACATGTTCACAGTCACTCAGAAGTAGGCACCTTCTCTGAACCTATCACAAACTCCGTCTACCCAGCCGATTCTCTTTGATTAGCCTCTTTCCGCATGACAAGAGGACAAGCCACTACCTAGGAAGAACTGGAAGGAAGCAAGAACTTTGAGTGGGAGAGAATTTCCCACAGTCGTCCGGGATCTTTTGAAAGCCTGATATCCTAGCCCCTCTCCTCCAGGTTAGAGACCGGGTACTACTGTGGGCTGACTCAGGCTGGCACCTCGTTTAGCCTGGCAGACGCGTTCCAGCACCCAAGCCCTTGTGCTCCCAGTTTGTGCCGGTGTTTAGGGAGATGTCCCCTCCCACTGACCTTTCTCTATCAGAAACCAGACGGTCGCCTCCAGCTCGGTCCCGGAGGCAGCAGAAGGGGGGTTGGAGGAGGAGCCCGGCACAGAGAGAGGCAGGCCCTATCACACAAACATCTGCTCTCCGTTTCTTCCTCTTTCTGATCGCTGCAGATGACAAGGGGAGTGGAGTGGACTGAGGCGGAAAGAAAAAAAAGTTATGTCATAAAAATATAAAACGGTGCTGTGACTCACCTGCTCTTAGCCGCAGGTACGAGTTTCGTGGCAGCGCCTCCGTTCTGCTAGCCAGGAGCCCAGGTCGGCCTAACGTCGCCTGCTCGACTGACTCAGATGACTGGGTTTCTAGTGACGAGGCAAAAGTGGGGGCTTTTCACCTTTACAAGCCCGAAGCCCGGGAAGTGGGGGTGGTCTCCCAGGGTAGAACTTTGGGTCTAGAATCGGGGTGGAGAAGCAAAGGAGATGAAGGACCAAAAACCAGTAGCAGACAGGTCCATAAGGTAGTGCGCGCCTCCGGGAGGGAACTCGGGGTCATTCAGCGAGCACGGTCCCTGCGCTGGGGCTCTGACGCCACCGCCCCGGTCCTTCTCCCGCAGCACTACTCTGGTCTAAAGCCCTGGCCTGTCCTCCAGGCACCGCCTATTTTTCTTTTTTTTCCTTTTCCAAAGGGGGTCACACGCACACCCGCCCCATTTTTCTCTTTCCCTAGCCTCGGGGTTTAAACCAATTACACTGCTTTGTAAACAAAGTGAGGGCCAGGTTTGGGGGGAGGGGGCTGGCGGGAGGGGCGCGGGGGGCGTGCGGCGCTGGCGCGGCGGGGCGGGAGGCGCGGCGGCTGGACTGGCGGGCGGCCGCCTCGCAGGTGCACCTCGGGCTTTGTAGGTGCGAGCGTCTTTGTGCGGCGGACAAATGGGGAGAGGACGAGGAGGTGGGCACTCCAGCGACGTAAGATCCACATCAGCTCAACTGCACTCGCTTCGCACAGGCCGCCCGCTCACTTCCCGCGGAGGCGCTGCCGGGCGCCGCGCAGCGCGGCCGCCTCCCGTCCCCGGCGCTGCCCCCTCCCGCCGTACCACCGCCACCGCCTCCGCCGCAGACGCCGCGCCCCGCAGCGACCGGCTTCCTCTTCGCTGGGGTGGCGCTGGGCCCTCGAGCGCTCTGGTGACCGCCGCGGCCCCGCGCCCCTCCCCCGCTGCCGCGCGCAGCGCACCCGCCCGTCGCTCGGCACAGGGTTGGATGGTTGTGCCGGGCAGGGTGACTCCAGGATGTTAGGGACTGTGAAGATGGAAGGGCATGAGAGCAGCGACTGGAACAGCTACTACGCGGACACGCAGGAGGTGAGAGGCGGGGAGGCGGAGGGGCGTCCCTAGAGTCGGTGTCCGGGGAGACCCCGGCGAGGTGGGCGCCTGGGGGGACTGGGGCGGGCGGGCTGGGGGCGGCTCGCCCGAGGCGCCGCTCCCACTGTGGCCCCCGCTCGGCTTCTCTGCCAGCCCGCTGCCCGGTGGGTCCTGGCGCTTGAAGCGAGAAGAGAGTTTTAGGAAACTCTGGGCTTTGAAACACCCGCTCAGCCAAGCACTTGCCTTTGCCCTCCGGAGAGCGGGAGCAGGAGCCTGGCCCCGGGAGCCGCGGGGTGGCCGGCGGGCTCTGGCCGGGAGTTAAAAAGCAACTCGGAGAGTTGGTGTTCGCTCACTGGGCGGCCTCTCGGTCCCGCCACTTAATTCGCCAAAGCCTTTGGATAAAAAATGATCTGCCGCGGAAGTTGGATTTCCTCATAATGAAGGATTTTTAAATTTTATAAAACTTACTCTTCAAAAGCCCAGTTCGTAGAAAAGTGTGACCGTTTCTCTCTAGAACCGCTCGGTGGCGCTAGTGCGAATCGAATAATTTTCCAGAACTCAGGGCCAAGAACCTGTTTCTCTTCATTGTCCCCTTGGTGGCATGTTCACGGGGTTTATTTTACATTGTGCACAAAAGCATTGCAAGGAAAATCAGGTACAGGCATGGCCGCTACCTATTAAAAGTACTTTTCTAGAAACAGCTGCCGATTTCCTTCAAAAGTTTAATTACCGTTATTGAAAGGAAGCTCTTCCTGATAAAGCCTCCTGCGATCTTGGGGAGAGGACTAAATAATAAACCCCAAAGTAAAAAACTACTTTAAGATCTGTACAGAAAAGCACAGAATCTGAAAATACCTTCATGTCAATTGATTCATTCGTCTCTGTGTTTATTTGGGAAGCATGCCTTTTGGGGGTCTTCATATTTAGGTCTATCCATCTCTTATGTTTTCAGATGGGGTTATATTTGCTGATGAACATAAATTTAAGGACATCAATATTGTCAGTTAGATTACCAGATAAGCAGCTGTATGTTGGGGGCTCTGTATTTCCTAACCACCTAGCTATTCTCTGGATTGCTAAGGGTGAGGATTCCGCTTGCTGGTGATTTTAATGGGAGCTCAGGCCACTTTCAGGGGTTTAATTTGACACAGTCATCTCGGCCCACCAGAGAAGATCAGATCCCTATGGAAAGAGCTTTCTTACATCTCAAAGCCGAGAATTAGGAAGCAGAATAGCACTGAGAGAAAGTAAGTAGAGTTTGGCTTGGGAATTTTAAATTATTCCAAACTACTCATGTAGTTTCAAAGGCCAGGCTTTGGTAAAAGGAGCAGCTATCAGTTAGTGTGTGTGTGTGTGTGTGTGTGTGTGTGTGTAATTGTGTTACCATTTTTTTTTCAGTTGTCAGAGAACTGCAAACAGGTAACAGAATTCACGCAGGGTTTTTTAATAGCTTGCAGAGCTGTGCATGTAGTTACGTTAAGATAAATGTACGCTCCGTGTTGTTCTTATTTTTAATTTATTTATTTTTTCCTCGGGATTTTATTTAGCTGGTGTGTTTTCTTCTTTTAAAATATTGCCTCTGTGACAAGTAGGTGGAAAGCGTTACTTCTAAATATAATAGCAGAAAGCCATCTTTTGGCACCAACTCTTAAGACAAAGCCAGTTTCGGGGAGATGAGTAATTGGGATGGGGGATCTTTCGGGCATGTGGGCGATTGACTCTATGGGTGAGAGTTTAAACGCAGCCAACACAAAGCCTACTGCTCTGCGGCCAGAGGCGCCTGCCAGACCTCAGCAGGGTGGTGGCCTAACTGGTGCCAAGCTGATCACCCAGCAGGCCTGTGTGGAACCTATATCACCTTAGGGGTGAAGTGGAGAAGCAGAGGCTCAGACTTAAATTCTCTTTTCGGTGTTTCAAAACGGATTTGGCCCAAAGGCAGTTTGTCCAGGCTGATCTGGGGTACAGCCTGCCGTGGATGAAAACGAAGGGGGACCCCTAGAAACCAGCCCCTGATCCAGGCATGTAAGGCGATTACGCATCTTCCCGGGGACATATTTTCTGTGAGCGCTAATCTTTCCTGCCTGCAGCGCTAGGATGTTCCCCCTGCCGTGTAAGCCATCTTTGCTTAGCCAGGGAAGGGCGCCCAACAGTTTGCCCAGGCTGGGGAGTTCCTGAGCTTTGCAGAAACGCTGTTCGCTCGCCCTGGGGCTCGCCGCTGGCCAGCCAAACTCCTGGGCACACTACTAACTCCGCCCTTCGGGGCCTCTTCCACTCGCTGTCTCCGCTCCAGGCCTACTCCTCTGTCCCTGTCAGCAATATGAACTCCGGCCTGGGCTCCATGAACTCCATGAACACCTACATGACCATGAACACCATGACCACGAGCGGCAACATGACACCGGCTTCCTTCAACATGTCCTACGCCAACCCGGGCCTAGGAGCCGGCTTGAGTCCCGGTGCTGTGGCCGGCATGCCCGGGGGCTCTGCAGGCGCCATGAACAGCATGACGGCGGCAGGCGTCACGGCCATGGGTGCAGCGCTGAGCCCTGGAGGCATGGGCTCCATGGGCCCGCAGCCCGCGGCCTCTATGAACGGCCTGGGCCCCTATGCGGCCGCCATGAACCCGTGCATGAGCCCCATGGCGTACGCGCCGTCCAACCTAGGCCGCAGCCGCGCCGGGGGCGGTGGCGACGCCAAGACGTTCAAGCGCAGCTACCCGCACGCCAAGCCGCCCTATTCCTACATCTCGCTCATCACCATGGCCATCCAGCAGGCGCCTAGTAAGATGCTCACGCTGAGTGAGATCTACCAGTGGATCATGGACCTCTTCCCCTATTACCGTCAAAACCAGCAGCGCTGGCAGAACTCCATCCGCCACTCGCTGTCTTTCAACGACTGTTTCGTCAAGGTGGCACGGTCCCCGGACAAGCCGGGCAAGGGCTCCTACTGGACGCTGCACCCGGACTCCGGCAACATGTTCGAGAACGGCTGCTATTTGCGCCGTCAAAAGCGCTTCAAGTGTGAGAAGCAGCCGGGGGCCGGAGGCGGGAGCGGGGGCGGCGGCTCCAAGGGTGGCCCCGAAAGCCGTAAGGACCCCTCCGGCACAGGTAACCCCGCCGAGTCGCCCCTTCACCGGGGTGTGCACGGAAAGGCTGGTCAGCTAGAGGGCGCGCCGGCCCCCGGGCCCGCCGCCAGCCCCCAGACTCTGGACCACAGCGGGGCCACGGCGACAGGGGGCGCTTCGGAGTTGAAGTCCCCAGCCTCTTCCTCGGCGCCCCCCATAAGCTCCGGGCCAGGGGCGCTGGCATCTGTACCCCCGTCTCACCCGGCGCACGGCCTGGCACCCCACGAATCGCAGCTGCACCTGAAAGGGGACCCCCACTACTCATTTAACCATCCGTTCTCCATCAACAACCTCATGTCCTCCTCGGAGCAGCAGCACAAGCTGGACTTCAAGGCGTATGAGCAGGCGCTGCAGTACTCCCCCTATGGTGCCTCCTTGCCCGCCAGTCTGCCCCTTGGCAGCGCCTCAGTGGCCGCAAGGAGCCCCATCGAGCCCTCAGCACTGGAGCCGGCCTACTACCAAGGTGTGTATTCCAGACCCGTGCTAAATACTTCCTAGCTCCCAAGACTGGGGGTTTGTCTGCATGACCAACCTGGTAGCAGGAGAGAAAAACCAACAGCAAACGAAACCACACAACACCAAACCAACCACATAACAAAAATCCCAACTCTTTTTATTTTTCATGCACAATTTTCCCCAGTGCAAAGGACTGTTACTTTTATTATTGTATTCAACATTTGTTGTGTGTATTATTACAAATACAACCGACTCCATATCAACATTTTTTTCCTGCGAAGTTTAATAATGATCCATAAATGTATATAAAGAAAATCTTCCTCCTTCCTTGCCCTTGTCCCCGTTCAGTCTTTCCCCTGTGGGCACATAATAGTCTGTGCAGGGCTTATTTAAAAAAGAAAATGGTCAAGTCTGTAAACTATTTGTTTGTGCTTTTTTTGTTGTTGTTTGTTGTTGTTGCTGCCCCTCCTTACCTAGGCCCATCACAAGAGTTTACAGGTCTGTGGCAATACTCTTAACTCAGTAAAGAAAGGAACAGACAGTAAGGGCTCTTGAGAGTACTGAAAGACAGTACTGCCATGATGCCACGGTAAGGTATAAACAGGTTACATACGTGAGAGCCATTTGTTTTCAGCTTACATTCCCGATGCATTCAGATAGTGGATGCCTTTCAATGAAATACACACACACACATATATATATTGTCTGTGGACTTAGTCACGCTCACATACGAAGACCTCGTCCACTTTTGCATAACATGTAGAGGTAATACGTAGGTAATAGATGCGCAACATTTTCAGAAATTGCCTGACCAAGTTACAAGGATCCCCT